GCCACCCGGGCCCGGAACGCGCGCCGCCAGGGCCGAGAAGGGGACTGGCTCAGCTGGTGGAGGAGAGCAGGGAAACGTGGGGGAGGGGCTAGCGAAAGAAAGAGAACTTGCGTGAGGAGGAGGAGAAACCAAATTTAATATTTGGCGTGGAAATGGGATTTTTGGTGTGTTTGTTTTGCATCTTCAAAGCAAGTGCAGTAAAATTAATCAGCATTGTTGCCCTTCCCCTCGACCTGTGAGGATTACTTTCTCCTTGGGTAAATGGAGAGAATTGAAGCAGGTAAGAGGCTAAGCTGACTTTTCGGAAGCCCCCAAAGAAAAACACCCGTTGGAATTAACCACCCTTTAGGTAATTCAGTCTTGAACGGAAATCGCAAGTCAGGAGCTGGGTTGAGTGCTCCTCAGTCGGGCATTCAAAGCCCTCCAAATCTGGCCCCACTTTAGCTATCCAATCATAGCTGCCTCCATCCCCCTGCAAGAACTCCCGGCTCCAATCAGTGAAGTCTCCATGCCATTCTCAACGCGCAGCAGATTCATTCTTCCTTCGTGCCTTTGCTCATGCTGTTCCCCTCACCTCCCCACCCCACCCCCTTTCCCGGAATGCCCTCCCTCCTCTATACGGTCTCAAGCCAACCCAAGCTCTAAGGCACAGCTCAAGTCGCGGCTTGTCAGGGTCCCTGGCAGCCAAGGCCCCTACCTGCTTCTGAAAGAAAGGCGTGTGGTTCTCTCAACATGGAGGCTCAGGCTCCAGGCACGAGCTCTTTCGTTTGGAGCCAGTTGCCCCCCTGGACGCACTCTCTGCCCACTCCTTCTCATTCATACCTAAGAGCTAGCTTTGTCCATTAAGAGTAAGACTCCCTACTAGAAACAAGCAAGTCCCCTTTAAGAGCAGAATTGGCTTTTCTAGGTGGGGCTGATCAGGGAGGCCTAAACTGCCTGGGTGTAGAAGACAACAGCCAAGGCCTCTGGCACCAGATGGAACAGCTGCTCAGCTCACACTGACCTTTCTCTGGGTCCGTGGTTGTTATGAGCTCTTCGGCTTTAACTTTTCTGACAGTTCCTATCAGGTCTCTACCTGACAAGATTCTCTGGCCACTTTCCTGCTGTGCTTGGACTTTGGGCCATGAGGCTCTGCCACCTTTTAGACTCTTCGTGGGTGGGGAATCTGATTGGCTTGGAATGCTTCCTGGCCTTTGTAGTGCTCAGTTCCCTGCCTTGGCCTGGAACCCTCTTCCTTTTGCACCACTGGCTCACAGACTACACTCCCAGATTCGCCCTGAATACTTAACTTGCACATGATGGGGAGAGAAGGGAGGAAGGGCACCTGTGTGCCAAACACAACTCTTCCATGAGGATTCCAGGCCTCTTGGGTTCTTTTGCTCCCTAAATACCTTCTGCACTGATTCTTTAACACAAATGAGCCCCCTTTTCCATGATCTAAGTTTACTTTAGGAAAATACAGGTTGTTTCTGAATTTATTTGCATATGTACCCTGTGTCCTATGTAAAGACAACGTCTGTACTAAATTGATAGACACCATGTGCCCTAGACAGAAACTTTGAAGAATAAAAATAGCTAATGTTTATTGAGCACTTTCAGTGTGTCAGACTTGGCACTTCCTATATATTATCATAGTTATTCCTCCCCAAACTGCATAATGTAGATACTATTATTCTCTCCATTAAATCTGAGACAAAAGCTTAGAGGTGTTAAATAACATTCGTAAAATTACCCAGTTAGTAAGTGGGGGAGCCAGGATTTGAATCTTATAAGTCTAAGAACCTGCAAGCCATGCTGAAAATGAGGTTATAATGAAAAATTTTGAATGTATATATAAGCTCTATACCCATGGAGAAGATGGAGGAAGTAAAAAGGCACTGGGGAAAGTTGCCAAGTCCTCCATATTCTAATGTTTTACCTGGCCAAGAGAGAATGATGGCTCCACGGTGCCACATCCTGGAAGGGGGAGATCCTAGGAAGTGGGAGATTCATCCAAGAAAGGTAAATCAAGACGTTTCGTTAAAAGTTCGCTACCGGGTGTCACAGAGGCTGCCTTCCCGGGTACAACTTCTAGTTTTTTATAGGTTCCATAAAAGAGCCGTACCACCTCAGCAGCCACTAGAGGGCTCAGCAGCGCTGCAACCCGAGCTGCCCTCTAGCGGCGGTGCTGAAGAGGGCATTGTTGAGCCTTTGGGGCTTTCAAGGACCAACAGATGGTTGGAGGAGACATCTGAGACTCTTAGGTGTAACCAGCAACGGGTGGGGTGGCAGATAGTATCAGACTGAAGAGACGTTATTGCCAGAATGAGACATCCTTATAGGAAAGAAAAGATCAGCCCCCTGCTGACAACATCTGGGAGTAGAGTGTGCGTTTTGTCACAGTCTTCAGAGAGGGCTGTGAATACAATTGTGCCACTAGAAACCTAAACGAAACTTGATGAAGTTACCCAAAATCTTGGGGTGGGACTCAAGCCAAACCCAGACGCTCTGTGTAAAGGTAGCATTGTAGCCATGTGCTTCTGAAATTGTGTATGTACCCCTCTGGTGCTGAAACCTTATACTAAGGTCCCTTAGGGACCCAATCAATGAGGCTTATTTTCTCACAACTTCAGTTTGACTCAGTGAGAAGTAATGGAAAACATAACATTATAGTAAGCATGAAGTTTTAGGATTGCACACTAGATTTTGAGCTTATATTTCCCAACCCTGAGGAATATAACTCTATTCTCATTGTAAAAGTGTACTCAGATGTAGAAATTTTTGAGAAACACTGACATAGTGGGGAAGAAAGACTTCAGTATTGGAATCAGAAGACCTGGGAATTCAAACCCTCTGTTTCCATTTCTATGAAAATGAAAATAATGACCTTCCTCACAGAGTTGTTATGAAGAACAACATGGAAAATGACAGCTAAACCACAGAAGTGCTGTGCACGTAGAAAGACAATCTACAAGGTGGATGGATTGCAAGCACCTTAAAGGTAATGACTGTGTTTTACTTATCCTAGCAGTCCCAAAACACAATTCTTTACTTCTAGGTGTTTAGCAAATATTTATTAAATTCAGTAGTTACCTAATCTTAATTTTCTTAGCCCAACACATTGTACCATCTTGCTATCTTATGCTTGCAAACTTTGTCTTCTTTATGAAACTAATCTTTTTATTCTGTCTAGACTGTAGCATATACATTTATCATATATTTAACATACCTGTTACATAATAGTATCGGGCACAGAAAATTAAATAAATAAATAAAGAAATAAGAACTGGTCCCAACTTGAAGTAGTTTACATTCTTTGGAACAGAGAGACATGTTAATATATATTAATTGTACAAGATTATGAGCTCCAAAATAGAATCATATCTACTAATGCTATGGAGACATGGTAGAGAGAGGAATTGGTCTTGTTCAGGTTAAAAGAGCTATTTGGAGAAGGCCTCTTGGCTAGCATATGAATTGAGTCTAATTTGGTGAACAAAAGTTCAATAGGCAGAGCACTGAGGGAAGAGGATTTCAGGTCAAGAGCAGCATGAGCACCGGTATAAAGCCGTGAAAGGTCACATGGAATGTGTGAATAATGCATAGCCCGATGTTAGCTCTGTACTCAGATCTTTAATGAAGTGTATAGGAGAGGGAAAAGATGGTGAGGGAGATACAAGCCCATTTTGTTCTGACAAAAGATGAGGGCTACAATAGGTTTGGTAGGTGGTAAATATTGGTCAAGTACTTAAAGTATACATTTCATTTCCCCAAATTATGATGGTTTACAGATACAGAAAAGATATTCTCCATTTTATTTCCCCTTAAAAATTAAAAACAAAGTATTTCCTCATTCTCTGTTCCCTTGATTGTTGTTTCCTCTGCCTTCTTCCATTCCAAACTTTTCCCCCTAGGAGCTGAAAGAAGAATATGTAATCATCTGTACGTTATTATTTGAGAGAACAAGGAAGAAAGGCTTTCTACCTCCAAAAAAAAATCTTTCTCCATATCAGAAAGAATTGGTTTATTTCTTTGGGCTAAGCTGTTGTCTTTCAACATGCATGTAGTCCTAGAGGAGCTGATATATTAAGTTCCATTGGTGTAATATAATTGAGTTTTTGTTCTTACTTTTAATAGAATGAGAGGGAGGGAGACAATAAAAGAGGAAGCAAGATTACAGAAGAGGGAGGTTGTAGGATTCAAAACGAAATGCACATTGGCAGATTTGGATAAATATTCTCCATACCATTCTTACTAATGTAAGTATGTTATGAAAGTATGAATTCTCTTGTTAGAACACAAATATTCTGTTGTGTCATTAAAACAATGTTAATGTTAAGGCAAACTAGCCTAACTATTCAAATACTGGGCAAGGCAGCAGGTTGTTAACAACACTGTCACTACCTAGCTATGTGACCGTATCTATATAAGCCATTCTTTCAGGTCCCTTTACTTATCTCTAAGGATTAATGGGATAAAGTTCTCATAATGTACTTGGCTCTTCAAGTGAAAGGTATTATGAAAATGCATGCCAGGTACTGCTTTGATTTCACTTAGGAATTTTCCACTGTTGTTAC